GTTTCAAGCTGGTCATGCTTTCACCAGAACAATCTTCTTGTCAGTTTTGTGGGCTTTCTGTGTATCTAACTAGAATCCGTTCTATTAGATGAGAGTTAAATCCACAAATCTCTGTGAGATAGGCCCTTTCTCCCTGTGCAGACACTCAGAGTGCTGGCACAGTCTTTAAGATTCTCAGAAACTCTTTTATTTTCTAAGTGAGAGAGTCTATAAGGTGCCACCTTAAACCTTTCAAAAACTTTATCATGGAGGTCTTTAAAATGAGGCCATTTATTACTTTGAGACTTTTTACTGGCTGACGATACTGTACTAGATGTTTTTTTTTGCTGAGAAAGATTAGCCCTGAGCTAACATCTGCTGCCAATCTTCCTCTTTTTGTATGTGAGCCACCGCCACAGCATGGCCACTGACAGACGAGTGGTGTAGGTCCAGACCCAGGAACCAAACCTGGGCTGCCGAGGCAGAGTGTGTCAAACTTAACCACTAGGCCACTGGGGCTAGCCCTAGATATTCTTTATTTCCACTAAATTCTACTCAAAGACTACATGCATCTTTCAGGGCATTTCATGTCTCTCTCCTTGTATCTCCCTGTATCCTAAAGAAGCCAGTCCTCACTTTTGGTATCCTGCCTGGAATCTCTTTAGCCAGGTCTACATACCCCATGGCTCATTGTCTGTTGTCCACATTAATGCAGGCAACAGTGTTAGTAAAGATTCCGCTGCTGTGTAACACAGGTCACCCTTGTCCTGGTCTTTCACACAACGTTGCTGCTCTTGTAGCCTCGTCTACAGTCTCCTCACCTCCCTTCCAATTTCCACTGCCACCCTTTCCAGAAGTCAATGCCAGATGCTTTAAGTTATGTTATAACAATGCTCTACTTCCAGGTACCAGTTGTTATTGCTGAAAACAAACCAACCCAAACTTTAGTGGCTTAAAACAATAATCATTTATTGTTTCTCATGATTCCAAGGGTCATCTGGGCCCAACTGGACAGTGTTCTACTCCATGAACCCACCCTGCTCACTAGAGCAGAACCGCTCACTGGAACCTCTCACTAGAACCAGCACTGCCGCCTTTGTCGTAAATCAGACGTCCTCCGTATACCTGTGAGTCTGTCTCTGGACTCCTCGGTTCCGTTGGTTTATTTGTCCTTGTGCCACCGTCTCATGCTCTTCCTTACACTAACTTTCTAATGAGTAAGTCCTGATGTCGCGTGCAGTAGCTCTTACCACCTTGTTCTCTTTGGAGTTGTCCTTGCCATTCTTGGCTCTTTGCGTGTCCACACACATTTTATACTGAGTTTATCAAACACGCACACACACTCCCGTACCTGCTGGGTTTTGATTGAGATTGTATTGAGATTGATCGATTAATTTGGTAGAACCAACATCTATATAGATATATACTATTATTTAGATCTTTAAAAATTTGTCTTGATAAAATTTTTAGTATTCTATGTGGAATTCGTATCTCTCTTTGATTTAAATTGGATTTAAAAAATCGTTACAAGTGATATATTCTTGTTTAATAAATGTTTGTTGTTAGTATACAGAAATACAGATTTTTTAATGTTGCCCTTGTGTGCAGCAATTTTGCTAAGCTTATGCATTAAATCTGATGATTTATCTGTAAATTCTTAGTATTTTCTACATACGATTATGCCTTTAATAAATAATGACAATTTTATTTTTTCCTTTTCAATTATTTTACATGTTATTTTATTTTCTTGCTTTATTAAATTGGACAGAACCTCCAGAACGCTGTTGAATAAAGGTGGTAGTAGCAACCAGAGGGAAAATTTCAGCGTTTTGCTATTAGTTTAATGTTTGCTGTGTTTCTTGTAACACCTCCTTATTTGGATTAGAAATTTCCTTTGAGTCCTAGTTTGCTAAGATTTTTTTTTGTTATAAATGGGTGTTGAAGCTTATCAAATGCACTTTTTGTATCACTGAGATTATCATATAATTTTTCTTTTTTGTTTTAATGATGAAAAGTACATTGATTTTGTAATATCAAACCAAATTTGCATTCCAAGAATAAATCCAACTAGGTGGTGATATATTATCTTTTTTATGTATTTCTGGGTTTAGTGTTCTAATATTTTAGTTAGGATTTTTGCACCCATGTTTATGGTAATAAACCTATAGTATTCCTCCCTTGTAACATCCTTGTTGAGTTTTGGTATCAGGTTATGCTGACTTCATAAAAGGACTTGGGAATAATTCTCATTTTTTCTATTCTCTGGAAGATTTTGTGTAAGTTTACAGTTATTTCTTCCTTAAATGCTGGTAGTTACAAATATTGGTTCCAGGAGTAGCATGCTACCATAACAACATTCCAAATTATGTGGCATTAACATCCAATCTGACAGCATGGGACACTGGGAAAGATGGCAATCCATGTTATGCAGTGGAAAAAATTTTGTAAAACTATAGTCTTGAGTAGAGTGAAGGACATATAATGTACCTAATGAGCTTGTACTTTATGCAAAGAGGTAGAAAATTAATGTTATTAGAATGAGTTCTTATTACTGGCTGCATTTGCCAAGGTACCACACGAACTAGAGGAGCTCGGGAAATATTTGGCTGGTTCGCAAGCAGGAACATAAAGGAATTCAGAGACAACTGAAAAACTCAGGTACTCGCAAGATTGGAAGGTACAACCGATTCTCATCTTCCTCTGGTGAAGAGACAATGGAGACTGCCTTTGGGCAACAAATGCTGCTTAAAACTGCCTGGTGACAAGGACCAGGACGTGGGTATGGCTGTCACACTGCTGTGAGGACCTCTGAATGGAACAAGGTGGCGCCCAGCCATACTTTCAGTGGGAAAAATACCTCAGGGAAGGAGACTTAGGGTTTGGCTCTTCCTAAGGAAGAGCCGATAGGCTCAAAATACTTGCAGTTAAATTCAGAGAGAGAGAAATGTCTCTAAACCATCGTGGCGTATAGCACTGCCTAGAGTCAAACAAAGAACGTGAGATAGACTTTGAGAAAGTGGTCCAAAAGAGAACGTGATTGTTTGAGACTGAAGTGATAATTAGGCCCCAGCCTTCTGCAGCAGGATTCAGAATCACTATGGATTAACTCTTATATGTCATTCTTCTCCTTTACAAATGGGAATATTTATTGCAGTTATCCTTTCCTTTTGCTACCACTCTTTATATGGTGATTTGGGGCTAGAGACAGATAACTTATCTTTTTAGTCAGAGAGCTCTAGATCAAGAGGAGCTATATCTGGATCTGCAGAGGCTGTTACCAGTTGTTCATATCTCCTGGGATCTAAGCTAAAAATATTGATAAGATAGAATTTTGGGGTTGTCTCCCTTAAGAAGTGGGTGAGTATGTTCTGCGTGTGGGAAAAGAAGGGAACTGACCCAAAGAGTGAACTGTGATAGACTGTATTCCTGTTCATGCCCTTGTTTCATCCCCTCCCCTTGAGTGTGGGCTGGACCTTATGACTTGCTTTTAACTAACAGAATAGAGCAAAAGGGGTGGGATGTTATGTGTGAGGTCAGGTTACAAAGATCCTGGCTTCCCTCCATGTGCCCTCTCTTGCTTTTCGTTCGCTGCCTCTGATGGAAGCAGGCTGCCGTGTGAACTGCCCTGTGGAGAGGCCCATGTGATAAGGAAGACAAGGGAGGCCTCCAGCCGCCAGCCCATGAATAGCTGAACCTGCCAACAACCGTATGAACGAGCTTCACACCTTTCAGATGAGACTGAAGTCCTGGCCAGCACCTTGACTGCAGCCTTATGAGAGACCTTGTAGCAGAGGTACCTGTTATGGACTTAATTGTGTCCCCCCCAAATCCCTATGTTGAAGCCCTGACCCCTAGTATGACTATATTTAGAGATAGAGCCTATAAAGAGATAATGAAGGTTAAATGAGGCCTTAATCCAATGGACTGGTGTCCTTATAAAGAGAGGAAGAGACACCAGAGATCTCTGTCTTTCTGTCTCTCTCTCTCTCCATGTTTGCACAGAAGAAAAGCCTTGTGAGGACACAGTGAGAAGGGGGCTATCTACAAGCCAGGAAGAGAGACCTCACCAGAAACCAGCCCTGACAGCACCTTGATCTTGGACTTCTATCTTCCAGAACTGTGAGAAAATAAATGTTTGTTGTTCAGGCCACTGAGTCTGTGGTATTTGTTACGGCAGCCCTGTAGACTAATACACTACTCCACTGAGCTGGCCTACCTTCCTCACCCACAGGAACTTTGAGATAATAAGGGTTTGTTGTTTTGAGCTGTTAAATTTTGGGGTACTTTGTTATGGAGCAATGGATAACTAATACATTAGCCTAATTTTTTCCTCTGCATCCTCTTTGACTTGTGTCCTCATATGTAGGCAGGTAGGGTGCCCTCTTGAGCCCTTCAGATTCTTGCTTTCCAGGGAAAGATAAAGTCAATATTCCTGGCTGATAAGGAATCATTCCAGTTTCTGAGTCGTTTTCCCAGCAGAGTGAAAAACAGCTCTGGTTTAGATTCACATTTGGCTGCAAGTAGATGAGGACAGGATGAATCCAATGACTTGGAGTTCGTGAACTTGTGTATATTTGTGTAGATTATCTTCCGTGGAGATACATGTATATAAATTGCTGTAATTATGTCTGTGTAAATGAACTGCTATAATTATGTAATTCCTATGAGGACAACATTAATATACTAGATGTTTCTGGGTAATCTTTTTTTTTTTTTTGTGAGGAAGATCAGCCCTGAGCTAACATCCATGCCAATCCTCCTCTTTTTGCTGAGGAAGACTGGCCCTGAGCTAACATCTATTGCCAATCCTCCTCCTTTTTCTTCCCTTTGTCTCCCCAAAGCCCCAGTAGATCGTTGTATGTCATAGTTGCACATCCTTCTAGTTGCTGTATGTGGGATGCCACCTCAGCATGGGCAGACAAGTGGTGCGTCGGTGCGCGCCCGAGATCTGAACCCGGGACGCCAGTAGCAGAGCACGTGCACTTAACCGCTAAGCCATGGGGCCGGCCCCTCTAGGTAATCTTAATTAAACAACTATTGAAATGAACCTATGGTTCCTAGAACTGGAAGACAATAATTTGCTGGGATGTCAGTCAAAGATTCTTCCAGGAAAACCCTGGAAATGGAGAGCTTCCACACAAGATTCAGTGCCTGGACACCTTTTAGCAACAAGTCATTAAATAGACAGGTGAGTTACATACTCTAGAATAAAATAAGTTTAATTTGTAAGGTTAATTTTACTGTGATACATTGGGTCTCATGTTGCCATATTAAACAAAAAAAAAACACCTCTAAAGAATTTAGTTTATGAGTCACTTTAAACAAAAATAAAACTACATTTGTCTCTCCCAAAGATGGTCTCTTCTCACCCCAGTCCCCAGCTCCTGCCTTATGGGAGGTTCAGGGTCTGCCTCCCTCTCCTCTGTCCTCCAGGGACAAAATAAGAGCCTCCAGGGCTCGCACTCTTTGCTGAGTTGGGGAGGGGTAGACAGGAGGTGCTTTTGGTGATGTTCTGGTGTGGAGAGTATCGGTGTGTGTTTCTCTAATCCTCTCTTCCCTCCTGAGCTGACAGAATGGTTTGGTGTCCTGGGGATGCCCCTCCTTTGAAAGCTGTGGAGGAGGTAGTCACGCAATGGCTCCAGCAGCTCTGCCAGACCCTAATAGAGAAGGCTGACTGGTCCTCACAGCTCGAGTCTGGGTCAGGCGCATTCACAAGGGAGGGGGACTAGCCATCGTCACCTGAGCAGAGCTGGACTGAAACCCAGTTTGGGAGACGCTGGTCCTTGGTGTTCGTCTTCCCTAGAGACACGTCTAACAGTGGCTGTTTAGCAATATGTACTAGCTTTCATTTGGTGGGTGCTATGAAGATGCAGGACTGCGGGTTAGTGAAATCATACCTACTTCAAATGGCCGTTTTCACAATTAAACAAGTGTAGCCTGTATGTGCTTTCAAGACGAAATGTTTGGAATCTGTTTCCCCAGGCCCTCCTTGGGCCCCTCTATAGTTACACTCCCTGCCCGCCTTTCCCACAAGCCCCCCCAACACTCCTGGACTGGTCTGTGTCCCTGGATAAAAGCAGCTTCACTAAAGGGAGAGACCCTGCCACATATGTGAAAGTGCTTTGTGGGCTATAACTACTGCGCAAATGTTCGCTGTGAGGTTGTTAGATTGCCTAAGGGTTGCTTAGCAGCTAAGAATATATTGAACTGTATAGGAAAATGTCATTTTTCTCCCTTATAGCTCTTTCAGGAAAGAGTTGCTCTCATAAGTCATTGGTTTGACCTCTGGACTAACAAGCAACGTGAAGAATTCTTATTCACGATTTTTTTACGCTGCACTAAATCACAATTAAGGTAATGTAGCCTAATGATGTGATTATCATTGGTTCTTAAAGAAAATTAAATATAGTAAAATGTTTATATAACCTTTAAGGGTGTCTTTTTTTCCCCTAGAAAAAACAGAGCAATTGATATTTTAAGGTTTATAAACAGACTCTTATAGTGCTGCTCCCTCCTTGAGGGTGATGTGCAGCCTCGGGGGCCTCACCACCTTCTTACCACAGTGGAATGGTTAGTTTTTGCAGAAGCTTGTAACTAGCTTCAGCTGGGGAATTTTTTATTTTCTTTTATTTTTTATTTTTCTCCCCCAAAGCCCCAGTAGATAGTTGTATGTCATAGATGCACATCCTTCTAGTTGCTGTATGTGGGACATGGCCTCAGCATGGCCGGAGAAGCGGTGCATCGGTGCGCGCCTGGGATCCGAACCCGGGCCACCAGCAGCGGAGTGCGTGCACTTAACCGCTAAGCCATGGGGCCAGCCTCAGCTGGGGAATTTTTAACATTCTCTTAGTATATTAAATTCTCCTTGGAACTGTCAGACAGACAATGTATTTCAAGTAGATGTCTGGTGCGTAGGTAGGCACTCCATAGATATCCGTTACGAGAGTGGATGGATCTGAAAAATAGCTGAGAGGTGACCACGGTAGCAACACTTAGGGATATGGCCGAGACTTGTAGGCGGTGTCACTGACTACCAGTGGTCCTTGTTCTTATTCTTACCCTCCCTCCTGTTATGTCTGCGAGTTACTTTGAAATACTCCGGCAGAGACCACCATGTGACACTTGAAATTATGAAGAATGTGTTACTTGAAATTACACCTGGGGCTGCTGATGTTCCGATCAGGAAGTAATACTTTGGAGGGGTTAGCCAGCATCATGTTGGGAAGGTCACACTGTCTCAGCTATTACCAGATACTTTGCTAATTAGCATAGCAAATATCAGACATTAGTTATTATCAGAGCAACGAGTGCCTTGTTAACTTGCCAGAGGAGTGTTAGAAATGGACTCTCTGGTGAAATTAAAGGTATTCAAATATGAGACTGACCAAAATATTCCAGAGAGCCCTCCAGCATGCCTGGACCTGGGTGAGGAATCCAGCCAGGCCAGAGCAGGTGCTTGTGAGGATGGTTTCCAGGCTTCATCCCCAAATAATGGCCTTGTCAGTCAGGGATCTCTGGTAGCCCGAGGCCAACAATGAAGGCAATAACAGAATCCTGCTTCTGGAAACTTGTCCTTTCTCAATCAAGTGAAACTCACCCAAAGGACAGAGAGCTGGGGCTCCATCGAGCCTGCAGAGGAGACTGTGACGTGGTTTGGTCTTATTTCCTAAGGTTTGCTCAGTGAAACTCTAGCTATGACATCACTGGTGTTAGTTGGTTTCACTACAACCTGGTGGTGAGGCTGGGGGAGAAGCTAACCTTCGAACTTCTTAGGTTGCTACCAAAAAGTATCTGAGAGCACAAGACCAAACTGGCTTATTTTAGTTTGCAACACCTGCGTCCCACTCTTTCTTATGCCTCTTCCTGTGCATCTCTTTGGGTCGGCCTTTTGATCTCTCCTACCTGCTCGCTCAGCTTCTGCACTGTCAGCTTTCTCCTGTGTTCATGAGCACGTGGTGGATTGTTAACCGACTGTCCGTGATGGAGTCACCAAGTCACAGGTGAGAGACAGACACTTTCCTGGCTGTGTTGACAGAGGCTGCAAAGAGAGGCCCCAGAAAAACAGGCTCTTCAGTCAATGCCTAAAAATCAAGGAAGGGAACTTTTTTTTTTCCCATGGATTTTTTTTTTTTGATGTTATAATAGTTTATAACATTGTGAGATTCCAGTTGTACATTATTATTTGTCAGTCACCACATAAATGCATCCCTTCACCCCTTGTGCCCACCCCCTAACACCCTTCCCCCTGGTAACCACCAAACTGTTCTCTCTGTCCTTGTGTTAGTTTGTATTCCATATATGAGAGAGGTCATACAGTGTTTGTCCTTCTCTGTTTGGCTTATTTCACTTAACATAATACCCTCCAGGTCCATCCATGTTGTTGCAAATGGGATGATTTTGTCTTTTTTTATGGCTGAGTAGTATTCCATTGTATATATAGCACATCTTCTTTATCCAGTCATCAGTCAACGGGCACTTGGGTTGTTTCCACTTCTTGGCTATAGTGAATAATACTGCAATGAACATAGGGGTGCATAAGCCTCTTTGGATTGTTGATTTCAAGTTCTTTGGATAAATACCCAGTAGTGGGATAGCTGGATCATAGGGTATTTCTACTTTTAATTTTTTGAGGAATCTCCCTACTGTTTTCCGTAGAGGCTGCACCAGTTTGCATTCCCACCAGCAGCGTATGAGGGTTCGGAAGGGAACTTTTTATGGTAGTCATTGGCTAGGTTTCCTTTTACTCCAACTTTACGGCTTTCAATATAAGAAAATAATGGATCAAAGCCCATATCCATAATCGCTTTGTGGTGCATCTTGTTCTAGTCTCATGTACCATAAACCAAGCAATTTTAGTTGTAACCACTGGAGGTCATTAGAGATCTTGTGGTATATTTTGAGGCTCATTAACATTAGGCCTGACATTTTGTCACTGGAAATTGCATCCTTTGTCTGGTACCTGAATTCTTGTTTCTGTAGGACAAGGATGTGGAACTAATGTGTTAAGTGAAATTACTCTGCTTTGTTTCATAGCAGCTGTGTTTCTGCAGAGAGCTATATGTGCTTCGTAGTTCCACAAAGCTGTTATTACGTATTCTGGGCTGCTGGTTTCAGGGGAAATTGCAGGTCAATTTCTGGCCTCTAGATTTGGCATCCTGAACTCATCTTTAATTTGTAGTAGTGGTTTTTGTTTTTGAACCTCAATCCGTTCATTGCCCAAAGTCTAGATTAGGTCTTTCTTATACTGCTTCCTCTCCTTCTCCTTTGGTCAGCCGTCTCTTCTCTCCTACCAACGTCTACTGATACCATGTGCCAATAGTCTAGTCCAATTTGAGCTGTGCTCGATTTTAATTAAATCTGAAAGCCCAACTCATTTTATTTTTTAGATTAAAGTTAGTGCAATCAACTTTCTTTTAAACACTTTTATTGAGATATAATTCACATACAATAAAATTTATCCACTTAAAGGGTAGAATTCACAAAGTATATTGAATTTAGTGTATTCAATATACTAAATAGTATATTGAAACTAGTATATTCACAAAGTTGTGCAGTAATCACTACAATCTAAGTTTAGATCATTTTCTTCACCCTGAAAAGAAACCCCCTACCCAATAGCAGTCATCCCCCATTTCCATCTCCCAACACTGGGCAACCACTAATCTACTTTCTCTTTCTATAAATTTGCCTTTTCTAGACTTTTCATATAAATAGACTCATACAATGTGTAGTATTTTGTGACTGGCTGTTGTCATGTATTATAATGTTCTCACAGTTCATCCATTTTGTAGCATGTATCAGTACTGCTTTCCTTTTTACTGCCAAATAACATTCCATTGGATGGATATGCCATATTTTATCAATCCATTCATCAGTTTATGGACATGTGGGTTGTTTCCACATTGGGCTATTGTGAATAGTGCTGCTGTGAATATCTGTGTACAAGTTTTTCTATATATGGGTATCTTTCTTTTAGGTACGTACCTAGGAATAGAACTGTGGGGTCAAGTGGTGACAGTGCAATCAACTTTTAATTATTAAGCATTTCTTTTGAATCGTATTTATTCCTATAGTCCCTGCTCCCCCACAACTGTGAATAAGCCTGTGAATAAATGAGAGAATTTAGCATTATTTGAATGCCTGAAATCTTTATATATGAGCTAGGCTTTATTTGTGCAATACCTTGTTTTCAAGGCAGAGAAGCCAGTGTTTTAATGTTTTGTTTTATAATTTCTGAGTAATTTTATTTTAATTCAGACAGTTACAGTTATAAAGCTTAAACAGGATATTGCAGTATTGGTTGGAAATATATTGTCATAATTTTCTTTAAAAGTTTCTTTTTTTTCTTTTTTTTTCTTTTCTTTTATTTTTTTTTTCATTTTTTGTTTATTGCAGTAACATTGGTTTATAACATTGTAAAAATTTCAGGTGTACATCATTGTACTTCTATTTCTGCATAGATTACATCATGTTCAC